GCACTGGGTGTTGTATGGAAACCAATTTGACAATAAATTTCATATATCAATAAAAAAAATAAAAAATAAAAAATAAAATAATAGGAAGAATCATCAAAATGCAAATGAATGAATCTTGATTTATTTCTGATCTCTTACACAAAAATTAACTCAAAATTAATCCTAATAGGCATTGATTCTAGACTGTGACCTTGGGTTAGGCAAATAGGTCTTAGATATGATGTCTAAAGCACAAGCCATAAAAGAAAGAAAATTGATAAATTGGACTTCATAAAAATGCAAAAATTTGTTCTGTGAAAGACCCTGCTAAAAGCATGAAAAGACAAGCTGTTGCAAATATAAGTATATTTGCAAATATACTTATCTGACAAAAAAAATTGAATCCAGAATGTATGAAGAATTATCAAAATTCAACAGTAAGAAAATGAACAGCAGATATTTTTTAAATTTTTTTAATGTTTACTTTTGGGAGAGAGAGAGAGACAGAGACAGAGTGTGAGTGGAGGAGGGGCAGAGAGAGAGAGGGAGACACAGAATCTGAAGCAGGCTCCAGGCTCTGAGCTGTCAGCACAGAGCCTGATGTGAGGCTTGAACCCATAAACCGTGAGATCATGACCTGAGCCTTAGTCGGACGCTTAACCAACTGAGCCATGCAGGTGACCCTGATTTTTTTTTTTTAATGAGCAAACATTTAAACAGGCACTTCACTAAAGGAGATACATGGAGGGCCAAGAAGCCACATGAAAGCTGCTCAACATCATTAGTCATTAGGGAAATGCATATTAAAACTGTGAGGAGGCCATGCTACACCTAACAGAATAGTTTAAAAAAAAAAAAAAAAAGAACCAGACAACTCCAAGGGCTGAGAGGGACGAGAGGCAACTGGAATTTCAGATACTGCTGCTGGAAATGCACAGTGGCACAGCCCCTTTGGAAAACTTCAGGCAAAGGAATGTAGGTGCTCCAGGTGAAATCAGGCAGCCTACAAGGAAGTGGTGAGGGTGAGAGAAAATGGGTAGGGTACCGCCTGTGTCTGTTTCCACCCCCATCTAACTGTACTTCAGTTCCCAGTTTATGGAGGGTTCTGTGAGTTTCTTATAAGGACAATCCAACCGTAAAGATTCATCCTTAATGCTTTATCCTAAATGCTTTATCCGCAATCTTAAGCAACATAAGAAAGAGAAAAAAGGGATGTTTGTCACCAGTGCTGGGTATAATCAAACCAATGCCTGCACACCAATGCCCTATGGATTCTGAGGTGAGCCTGCTCTGTCCCTAGAGGAGAATGGCTAGGGTTGCCAACCCCAGATTCTACTCCTACCACACGGAACGTCGCCCACCAGATATGAAAAATACTTTCGTATTCAGGTTGAGATTCCTGAATGAGTCTAGTGAAGAAGAAGAAAGGCGTAGGAAGAGGGGAAAATCTTCAACTTGGAGGAAAATAGAAGTATAAGTATGATGATAAATGACAGTGGACGCTTGGCTTTGATTTGGAGGGTGTCGGGGAGAGAAGGATGGGGATAGTGGCAATTTACAGAGTCCACGCCCATCTGAGGGAAGCAACTTTGCTATGTGGAAATGCAAGAGCAGGTTTCAAATCTTCTTATTGTCCTAGGGAAGCAGGACACGTGGGTTTGTACGTGAAATCACCTGAGTCGTAAACATTGGAAATGATTTTAAATTTTATTAGAACAACAACAAAAAGGTCTGGGGGCCAGATGAGGACTGGGAGGCACCATACTGTGTCCTCTGATGTGGACAGACTAAAAGCTAGGCCAAGCCACTCACCCCAGGCATGCTTTCTGTAGAACTCCCTTGGTTAGCACCTCCCAGTCTAGAGGAAGTCCCTGGGTTGGTTTACTTCATTAGCTGCCTGGAAGAGAAGGGAAAAAAGAGAAGCCAAAATTACTCTGAGGTCCCCAAAAAAGAAGAAGCAAACATTTGCTACAGGCCAGTTATTATTCTTTTTGTCCTGGAATCGCCTGGGGTGGGAAAATGCAGAGTCTCGGGTCCCCTCTCAATTTACTTAATTAGAATCTCTGGTGGCTGGGTCTGCTGTAGATTTCCATTTTAACAAGCTCCTTGGGTAATTCTTACCCCCACTGAAGTCTGACACCCACTGTATTGAATTTTTCCACCTTTACTACAGAGGATTCAGTTACCATTGGGTCCATTTGGTCCTGTATCTAAATTTGAGGTCTCCGGTGGGAAGAACAGTAATGGGAAGGAAAGGAAAGCTTTGAGCGCCCCCTAGGGGTTATCTTGTACAGTGAGCAGCTTTATCATGATCAGTGATTTCTCAGAGGTGCTAGGAATGGAAATTAAGTAGTATTTTTGAGCCCTTATAGGCATTAAGCATTGTGACTGGCCACTCACATACATTATCTGATTTCAGCTTATGAGGCAGGTACTATTATTATTTGCATTTTGCAAAAGAGGAAATTTACCTGTAAGTCCAGTGGCATGGCTGATGACTCCCTCTTCCTCAATATATTTTCTTCACATGGTTTCCAGGACACCATACTCTTTTTCATTTGCTTCCTGGCTCACTGGTTATTCCTTCTCAGTCTTCATGCTAGCACTCTCTCTTCTCCAAGACCTATTAATTTTGGAGCATCCCAAGGATCAGTCCTTGGTTTTCTTCTTTCCCTGTATAATTAACATACGGTGTCAAGTTAGTTTCACGTGTACAATGATTCAACAATTCTACACATTGCTCAGGGCTCATCACATGATAAGTATACTCTTAATCCCCTTTATCTATTTCACCTATTTCTCCACCCACCTGCCCTCTGGCAACCACCAGTTTTTTCTCTGGATTTAAGGGTCTGGTTTCTTGTTTGTCTCTTTTTTTCTCTGTTCATTTGTTTGTTTCTTAAACTCTACATATTAGTGAAATCATATGATATTTATCCTTCCCTGACTTATTTCACTTAGCATCATACCCTCTAGACCCGTCTATGTTGTACATGGCAAGATTTCACTTGTTTCTATAGCTGAGTAATATTCCATTATGTACATATACCACATCTTCTGGGGCACCTAGGTAGCTCAGTTGGTTAAGCATCCCACTTAAGCTTAGGTCATGATCTCACAATTCATGAGTTTGAGCCCCACGTTGGGCTCTGTGCCTGCTTTGGATTCTGTGTCTCCCTCTCTTTCTGCCCCCTCCTCCCACCCACTTGTGTTGTCTCTCTCTCTCTCTCTCAAAAAAAAAAATAAATGTTAAAAAATAAACAATAAACATATTCCAAATCTTCTTTATCCATTCATCTATCAAGGTACACTTGAGTTGCTTCCATAATTTGGCTATTATAAAATTGCTTCAATAAACATTGGGGTGCATATATCTTTTTGAATTAGTGTTTTTGTTTTCTTTGTGTAAATGCCCGGTAGTGAGAGTACTGGATCATATGGTAATTCTATTTTTAATTTTTTGAGAAACCTCCATACTGTTTTCCACAGTGGCTGCACCAATCTGCATTCCCACCAACAGTGCATGAGTGTTTCTTTTTTTCCACATCCTTGCCAATTCTTGTTATTTCTTGTGTTGTTGATTTTAGCCATTCTGACAGGTGTGAGGTGATATCTCATTGTGGTTTTGACTTGCATTTCCCTGATGATGAGTGATGTTGAGCATCTTTTCCTGTCCTGGCCATCTGTATGTCTTCCAGACATCCAGACATAAGCAGACATAACCAGAATGATCTTCCTAACATGTAATTCAAAATGTATCATTTATCTGCCTAAAATCTTCCCAGGGCTTCCCATTTCACTCAAACAAAATGGCAAAATCCTTAGAATGTCCAACAAGGCCTTCTACAAGTAGGGCCCCAACTCCTCTCTGACCTCACCTCCTGTTACTCCCTCCCTTATCCTGCTCCAGACGCACTGGTCTCCAATGGTATTCCTTACATATTCTTGGCTTGATTTAGCTTGAAGGCCTTCACCCTGGCTCTTTCATCTGCCTCAAACATCCTTCCCTCAGAAGTCTACTTGGGTAACTACGTCACTTCCTACAAATCTTTACTCAAATGTCACCCTCTCAATGTGACCAACCCGGATTCTGCTGTCGGAAATTACAAGCTGTCTTTCTCCCTGCATGCCCAAACCTCTTATCATGCTCCATTTATTCCATAGCGTTATGGCTTGGCAACGTATTACATAATTTAACTCTTTATTATGCTTATAGTTATCCCCCCCCCCCCGCCCCACACACTAGAATGTAAGCTCCAAGAAGGCAGGGATTTGGGACTGTTTTGTTTACATATAGGTCACAAACACATAGGTCAGTGCCTGAGATTTAACAGAAATATCTCTTGAGTGAATGAGACATGAAGAGGTTACATACGTAGTCCTAAGTATTCAATACTCCATTTGACAAGTAAACCTGAATAAGAAACAATTCTTTTCTCCTTACAGAGAAACATACAGAAGCTCCATACAGTCTGTTTGGGCATCTTCTATGGAGAGGATTGCTGAATACCAGCAGCCACAGCCCCCTTTAAAGAGGTGACACATGGCAGTGGGCTGTGTCTATCACTCACCTCTCCACCACTTGTACCACACACAGAGCTGGGCACTGTCTTCTTTACCCAATTTATTTAGGGACTGTAATGCTGAGCTACAAGTTGTATTCTTCCCTACCATGAGAAGTAATATACGGTCTGTGGGGTACATTTTTTAATATACTATACAGGTTTATTTTTTAAGTTTATTTATATTTATTTTGAGAGAGTGAGCATGAGTGGGGAAAGGGTGGAGAGAGGGAGAGAGAGAATCCCAAGCAGGCTCTACCCTGTCAGTGCAGAGCCTGATGCAGGGCTCAAACTCATGAACCATGAGATTGTGACCTGAGCCAAAATCAAGAGTTGGACACTTAACTGACCAAGCCACCCAGGCAACCCTACCAAACGGGTTTAAAGATGAATTGCAACTCACAAAAAGAAGCAACATAAGAAGTCTGTGGAATGAATTTTCACTAAACATGTTACTGAGTGAGGCTGGCTTGCCATCAGCTGTACCTTGATAAGGGATGCAGCAAATGGCTCTTTTCACGGCGTCCTGAATTGCCAGAACTTCTCTGTAATCCTCACAGAGAAGCAAGCAACAGCTTCCTGTAGTAAGTACCTTAGGCAGCTGTATCAGAAAAACCAGAGACTTCTAAGACTAAGTACCAGAAAATAAAGGGACGGGGGCAAGAAAAACCTCCATACTTCCTGAAACATTTATCCAATTTACTCACACAAATTCCCAGCAATCTGAATCACACCTACAACTCCCGCTCTCGCAACTGGACAATTCGCTTCAAAGACAAAAGGTAGCTAGACAGCCTGCTTAAAGATGAAAGAAAAGATTCTAGTCTATGTCAACAATTAAATTGTGTCAATGGTGTGTTTTTCGATTGCAGCAGCAAAATCATCTCAAAAGGGTGTGTGTGTGTGTGTGTGTGTGTGTGTGTGTGTGTGTGTGTAATTTCAATCACGGTAACTACCTTTTCCTGTGGGAATAATTTATCCATAAGGAACCATTTCCAAATTTGGCATATTCCATGGCAGCCAGTATCTCCTCCTTCACAGAGGATGCCTGGTGGTCACTGTTATGACAAGATGGCTTCCTAGCAAATGCACCTGAACTTGCTGACATACTTACTTCCCTTGACATCCAGGCCACCACACCCTCCAGGTTTTCCTCTCACCTCCCTGCTCACTTTTCAGTCTCATCTCTGCTCCCTCTCATCGCCCTGACTTCTAACCATTGGACTGACTGCCACAGCGTCAAGCGTTGAACCTCTTCTTTACCTTCGTTCTCTCTGCTGATGATCTCAGCCAGCCTTCATGACGCCATCTACATGCTGCTGGCTCCTGCCTTTCTACCTCCAGCCCAGAATTCTCTCCTGAATTCTACACTTTTCTAAGAGAAAGACTTGACTGGCATCTCCACTTGGATACCTAACAGGCATATCAAATCTAACATTCCCTGAACCAAACTCCTGATATCAGATCCCACCCCCACCCAAATCTTTGCTGTCTCAGGAAATGGTAATTCCATTCCTCTAGTTGCTTAATCTAAACTTTGGCCTTCTTTCTTTCTTTCATCATGCTCCACATTCAATGTTTCAGCAAATCCCATTGGATTTATATTCAAATTCTATCCAGAATCTAATCTCTTCTCACCACTCTTCTGCCACCACCTGGTTGAACTGAAGCCATCAGTATCTGTTTTTTTTTTTCTGGATTATTGCAAAGAGTCCCACAGCTGGTTCCCCTGCCTCAACTATTCCCCCCTTTTACAAACTATTCTGTTTACCAGCCAGTGGTTCTCACAGTGTGGTGCCAGACCAGCAGCACTGGCATCACCTAGGAACTTGCTAGAAATGCAAATTCCCCTGCATCACACCAGACCTACTCAATCAGAAACTCGGGATGGACGCAGCAACTGTGTGCTAAGAAGCCATCAGAGGTGGCTGATGCACACTCAGGTTTGAGAACTGATGCTCTACAGAAGTGGTTAGCCAGAATGATCCTTTAAAAATGCAAATCAGTGGGTGCTTGGGCAGTTAAGCATCCGAATTTGGCTCAGGTCATGATCTCGCGGTTCATGGGTTCGAGTTCTGTGTTGGGCCCTGGGCTGAAGCTCAGAGCCTGGAGCCTGCTTCGGCTCCCTCTCTCTCTGCCTCTCCCCCACTTGTATGCTCACTCTCTCTCAAAAATAAATAAATAAACTTTAAAAAATGCAAATCAGATCATGGTCCCCTCTCCACTCACAATCCTCCAGTGGCTTTTCTAGCTCCTTTGAGTAGGAGCCTGCCTCCTCCTGATGGCCTGCAGCCACCCTTGTGATCCATTCCCACTCACACCATATGTGTAACCACCTCTCTCTTCTCCCTTTATTCACTGTGTCTCTCTGCTTTGCCTCCAGGCAGGGCCTTTGGACCACTGTTTCCTCTGCCTGGGACACCCTCCCTACTCCATTCTCTCACATAATCATGTGTCCCTCTCCCTCTTTCCTTCCAGTCTCTGCTCAAATGTCAGCTCATCAGAAGAGTTTTTCCAGCCACCATATTTAAAATTAAAAACCCCACTTCCCATCCCCACTTCTTGGGCTCCTTTCCCCCCTTACTCCACATTATTTCTTCTGCACAGTGCCTGTCACCTTCCAGCACAGAGTATGCTGCACTCGTTTATTTGTTTAATAGTCATCGCACCCAAGAATATACGCTCTATGAGACCGGGATCTGTGTGTATTGTATTCACTGTTGTATCATCAGAGTCTGGAATGATGCTGGCATATGGTAGGGGCTCCATAAGTATTTGTTGACTAAGTGAATAACTAAATGATGGCCAAAGCATTCCTCTGGATAAATGATACATTTCTTGTCATGATACTGCCATTGCTGAAAATATTTTTAGGGCAATAGTCGGGAAGAAGGGAAACCATTTAGGAGGACACTACTTGCAATAATCCTGAAGAAAGATGACAATGGCTTCAATTTGAACAGGTGGTGCATAGGAGGTGGTCACAAGTGACTGGCTTCTGGATACAAGTTGAATATAGCACTGATGGACTGAGGTCAATTTATAGGTCACATATGGAAACTAGTCTCAGAATTTAAGAGAGATCACCCCTTTAAAAAAAAGTGAAGGGGCGCCTGGGTGGTGCAGTCGGTTAAGCGTCCGACTTCAGCCAGGTCACGATCTCGCGGTCCAAGTTCGAGCCCCGCGTCGGGCTCTGGGCTGATGGCTCAGAGCCTGGAGCCTGTTTCCGATTCTGTGTCTCCCTCTCTCTCTGCCCCTCCCCCGTTCATGCTCTGTCTCTCTCTGTCCCAAAAATAAATAAACGTTGAAAAAAAATTAAAAAAAAAATAAAAAAAAGTGAAAAATACAGTAGCTCAGCTTAATTACACACATTATTTACTAGCCAATACGACATTTGGCTTTATTGCAGAAATCAAATTTCCCCTTGAAAAGAGAAATGGAGAACCACTGAAGATATTCACAGGCTATGAATGCAGTTTCCTATATGATGAAAGAATACATTGGATTTTCACAGGATACAATCTTATATTTGTGTGATTTAATCCTCACAGCAATCCTTTGAGATCCTTGTTATTAACCCCATTTTTCAGATGAAGGAAATAAGGCTCAGGGCAGAGGATTTCAATCCAGGCCAGGTCACACATTTTCTTGATGAGTAAAAGCAATGTGCTGGGAACAAATGTACATGCTGCCTAGAAGAGAACATTTTGGTACGTCTTATCTCTCTTGACTTCATATTCACATTTCATAAGGACAACTTCTCCAGAGGATCAGAGCCCTATAGCAAATATAAAACAGCCAGGACGATGGGGGTCAATTCTGTTTTTCCTGCTGTTCAGGCTGGGAATGAGTCTCTTTTCAATAGCCAAAGCCCTGGGTCAGGTGCCATGCTTCCTCCAGACACTGTTTCCAGTGTCCCCAGGAGAAACCATTGCCATCTTGCCATCGCCATGGGGATTTGATGCTTTCCAGGGCTATGTAGACAGCATTCTCTCAAGACAAGGAACTATTGTTTGGGTAGAAAGAGAGGGTGTTTCTCACTTCAGTGAGAATGGACTTGAATACGGATTCACATTTCAACAATGCCTCCTTTTGTAAAAATGGGTGGGTTTTTATTTATTTATTTTTTTGGCTTATGTGATTTTTTTTCAGACTCAGATCACTGTTTCTAATGACTATTTCTCCTACAATGTTTCTTAAGAATGTTAGGTATGTGTTCCTGGGTGCTATGCACCCAGGGAGTAAAACTCATGTTGCATATTAACCTGAAGTCTCCTTGCTATCTTGAGCAGACTTTGGGGCAGAGAGGGAGGCTGGGGGCAGGAAGACGTGGGTTCATGGGTGGGAACTGGCACTTACTGAGAGCAGCATCTAATGAGCAGACACTTCAGATACATTATTCCAATTAATCCTCACAATCACCTGAGCAGATATTATCCCCGTTTTCCAAATGAGAAATGTAATTAGGTAACTGGAGCAAAATCACACAGCTGGTGAGACTGGAATCTGGGATCGGTTCCCAGATCTCACTCTAAACCTGTTCTCTTTCCATTTCCTGTTCCAGGCTTCCTTGCTGACCTTTTTAAGCTTTAGTTTTCTCAGATGAGTCACCTGGTGGGAAGAGTATGTGAGATGGTGCTTCTGAACGAACGTCTCCATCATAGCCACATGTCACATAATAGGTACTTAAAAATAATCAAATTTTCTCCTGTCTTCCTTGTGCATCATCTCATCTTACCTTTCTGATTTCTCCTTCTCTTCTCTCTCCTATTCTTTCAGCTCCTGCTTTCTTTTCATTTTCGTATCCTTTTCTTCATAGAAAATCAAAATCTAAAGAACTCATTCCCAGTGGCAACATAAGCTTTAAAAACAATCCCCTAGGAATAAACCAACAAGAACAATGCAAGGTCCATGTGAAGACAACTATAAAATTTTATAGAAGATATAAAAGAAGACCCAAATAAATGGAAAGCTACAGTTTCTGGATGAAAGACTTGATATTATAAAGATGTCAACTTCCCAAATTAATCCATAAATTCAATGCAATCCTAATAAAAATCCCAACAGGAGATTTATTGAATTTGATAAGCTGATTTTAGAGTTCATGTAAAAGAGAAAATGCACAAGAACAAGCAATAAAATTTGAGGAAAAAAAAGAACACTGAGGACTTTTCAGTTATCAAAATATACTAAGTTTATGTTAAACAATGTTGTATCAGTTCAGAATAAAGACATGAAAAATTGAACAGAAAAAGGCAATTCAAAAACAAAGGAACATGCATTTCAAATCAGAGCAAGAAGGATACACTATTCAAAAATTATATTGAGAGTGTTGGAAATCCTGAAAAATATTTAATTTAGATACCAGCATCATATCATAAACACAAAACCAAAATGGATTAAATTCTAAACACTAATTAAAAAAAAAACAAATCAGAAAGGAACTACATAATATATCAAGTTTTATAATGTTGGAAGAGGCAGTGATAAAGCCTTTCCTAAGAAAGACAAAAATTCCAGGAGCCATTAATAAAAAAGTCTTACTGTGAACAAACTGAAAGATCTGTATAACAAAAAACCCACAAAAACAAAAACACAAACAAAATAAAAGGTCCCACTGAAAGTCTCTGCAAAATATATAAAACAAAATATAGTATACAAAAGCCATTAAAATCTCCTAAACTTATTGCAAATATATAAAATACAAAACTGGATAAAAGAAATAGAGAGACAATTCACATACACAAAAAGAATGATAAAATCTAAAGTTGTTTAATGCCCAGAGTAATAAAGGAAATGCAAAATAAACCACGAGGCACACTTTATAACCAATCAGGGTCTGACACCAGTATTATCAGGTGGAAATGGGCAGTTTCTGTAGAGGCTGTAATAATGTACATTGATATAAAATTTTTGGATGGCAAATTAGAAATATCTATTAAAATTTAAAGTAAGTACATCCTTGGAATTCTATTTCTAAAAATCTGTTTTTCTGAACTATTCATTCACGTTCAAAAATAAATAAATGCAGGGGGAGCCTGGGTTGCTCAGTCAGCTGAGCGTCTGGTTTCAGTTCAGGTCATGATCTCATGGGTCGTGAGTTCAAGCCCCACATCGGGCTTTGTGCTGACAGCTCTGAGCCTGGAGCCTGCTTCGGATTCTGTTTCTCCCTCTCTCTCTACTCCTTCCCCACTTGCGTGTGCTCTCTCTCTCTCTCAAAAATAAACATTTAAGGGGCGCCTGGGTGGCTCAGTCGGTTGAGCGTCTGACTTTGGCTCAGGTCATGATCTTGTGGTCCGTGAGTTCGAGCCCCTCATCAGGCTCTGTGCTGACCGCTCAGAGCCTGGAGCCTGTTTCAGATCCTGTGTCTCCCTCTCTCTCTGACCCTCCCCCGTTCATGCTCTGTCTCTCTCTGTCTCAAAAATAAATAAACGTTAAAAAAAATTAAAAAAAAAATAAACATTAAATAAATAAATAAATAAATAAATAAATACAGTCATTGCAGCTTTATTTATAATAAGGAACAATTGAAAAGGGCAGAAATTTCCCTCAAGTAGCAAATGGTTGAATGAATTTTGTGCATTTGTATTGCGGAATACTATACGATGAGTGAAAAAAAAAGGAGGTAAATTTATATTTACTACGTGAGAGTTCCAAGACATATGATCAAGTAAAAAAAGCAAGATGCCAACTGCTTTGGGTGAGGAGGACTTCTTTTTTATTTACTCTTATAACTGCATATTTGTATGCAGTTAGCACATTTTGCTTATGTAAGTAAGAATAAAAGGAATCTTACTTAATATGATCCAAAAACCACAGCAGTACCATTACTGCTGTCACGTATCCATAAACCTCACCGGGGCCCACAGGCTGCAAGAGGTCCTGGGCTACTCCCTTCCAGGTAAGGGGTTGATTGGTGATACCAAGGTCAAGAGGTTGGAGGCTCAAAAGAACAAAGCTGAAATAATGCTGAAATAGCTAGCACAAGAGGAGAAAGTTCTTCCTCAACAGCGTTTACTGGTCCAGCTATCGGCAAGAATCACTTACTTCCCTCTTCAGTTTTAGACTTCATTGGAAGTCCTTTTGTCAGAGGGAACTGCAGTACCCAGGACACGACAATGCCGTATCCATCTTCTATTTCTTGATAAAATCCCTCCTGTCACGGGGGAAACACAGCACCAAGTCTCTCTCTCTTCCTTTCCCTCTGCAAAACCTTCATTCTTGTTTAGCTGAGACATTTAGGGAAAACAAAACAAAACAAAAAACTACTTAAAAACAGATTTTTTGTAACAAAAACATAGGTGCATCTATAAAGGTTATGTATTAGACTTTGCACCAAGAATCATTTTCTCTGGAAAAATTCATTTAGAAAGTGAAAAAGTATCATCATTCAAAACAAGGCCATTATCCTCCTACAATTTTTTGCGTATGTATTCTAATTATTTTGCACTATGTTGCACTATTTAAAAATCTTTCTTTTTCCATGTAGGTTTTTCACCTTCTAATCATTTTGCACTGTTTTCATATATTTTTCAGAAGAGTATATTGTTTACCCTAAGGTTCACAGGATAGCAAGCTAGAACCAAAACTATAAGTGATCACACAAATAAGAAAGCAGGTGGGAAAAATTCTGTGCTTATCACTTGAAGAATAACCAAAACACTTGAGCATTTTGAGCAGAATGAACTTTGGTGTGAACATTAGGAAATCTCAACTCCACTGTTCTGCACCAGTCATTCCATGAGATGTTGGACAAATGTGTGGCCTCTTTGATATTTCACAGATAGAGGAGTTTCCTTATCTGTAAATGAACTGGATTGGATAACAATCCATTGATAAGTTGCCTGAGCTCTTACTGTGTGTTCAGAACTAGGCTATGCGTTTTATATATATTATCTTGTTTGATTCCTATCACAGCCATTTGAGATAGAGATTATTCCCTCAATTTTTTAGATGAAGATGCTGAGGCTCAGATAGAGTAAATAACTTTATTTCCCTAGGGAATACAACTAAAAGTGGGGAGTCTGGATTTGAATCCAGATCTAATTCTGAAGTTTGTATTCTTAAGCTAAGAGCTAATCATAACCTTCACTATATGTTGTTTTAAGGTTACCTTTGCATTATACTTTTACTCCTGATGGGTTGAGGGAGAAGGAGGAGAGGTTTGAAATAAGAGGACTTTAAGATTCCCTTGCTGTTTCAGACAGTGAGTATAACTTAAAGCTTCTTCCATATCTAGAATGTTCAGATGTGGGGGGCAATACATTTCCACACCAGGCTGGAAATTTATAGTTGTGAGGGCATCCTGAAAATTTCCACTAAGATGACAAATGATTTAAGCGGCTGAAGACAGACAAATCTCTCAGCTAAAAAGACACTTCCAGGTCAGCTTCGCTGGCTAGCCTGGATGCTTATGATTCACTTATTGTGCAATAAAGTGGTGGGCTTATGTTTCCAGAGCTAATGATTCAAAAGCTTTCTGTGGTATTAAACTGAGATGCATACAGAAACAAAAGGCAATTAGAAGCAATCAAGGCATTCAGAAATTAAGATTCAATTCTGCATTTGCTAAACTCTTCATGAAGGAAATCAGTAAATTTTTTAAAGCCATGAATATGATACACAAAGAATTAAAAAAGCAATCAATTTAAAAATGTACACATGCTTCCCAGAATGCTTAGGGTATGTAGGACTGAGCCATTTTTCACTTGTCACATTCACATTTATATAGACATGTGCCTGTGAACACTCTCTTGAGTAATATTTCTATTTCAGTTGACAGATGAACGGGTATGTAACTCTTTGAGCTCCAGAAAAATCCTTATGACCATCTAAGACTAAAAGCCACACTGAACTATTTTTACCAGTACTTCTGGCAAAATGCAGTGAGCAGGCTTCTCTTACTTGGATTTTGGTATAAAAGATGTTTGAAAATCCCTGAAGTCACCTTCAGCTGGTAGATCTTAAGGTTTGTGAGAGTACCATCATACTCAGCCTCTAGTAAACTCTAAAGTGACAAGAAGACAGGAATAGAAATAATTATTTTTTAGGGTACCTGGGTAGCTGTCAGTTAAGTGTCCGACTTCAGCTCAGGTCATGATCTCACGGTTCGTGAGTTTGAGCCCCACATTGGGCCGCTGGCTGACAGCTCAGAGCCTGGAGCCTGCTTCAGATTCTGCGTCCCCCTCTTTCTCTGCCCCTCCCTCACTCAGGCTGTCTCTCTCTCTCAAAAATGAATAAACATTAAAAAAAGTTAAAAGAAAAGAAATAATTATTTTTCCATCCAAGCAACTCTTTGGCTTTTTCAGTTAATACTTGCATTTTTCTCAGTGCCAAATTCAGTACCTTTAGAAGATGGAGTAAAGCATTTTACGTTTCAGACATCACCCTTCCATTAGTCACTCATGTATTTTGATTTTCTTCACATGGTCCAGTTTCCATATTTCATCCAAATTTTTCCTGCCCAGCTCCTTTGTACCTGTTGTTACCTATGTCTGAAATACTCCTATATCTCCTCTCCCTTTTCCAGCTGGCTCACATTTTAGGTTTTAGCTTAAATATCACCCTTTGGGAGAGGTTTTCCATACTAACTGCTAAAGCATGTCTCCCTATTGATGCAAGAGTGGCTCAAAATTCACAAATCAATCAATGTGATACTTCACATCAACAAGAAAAACCACATGATCATTTTAACAAGTGCAGAAAATCACCTGACAAGGTAACAACGTCCACTCATGATAAAAACCCTCAACAAAGTAGGTTTAGAGAAAACACACCTCGAAATAATAAAGGCCATTTATAAAAAACCCACACCTACTGTCATACTCAATGGGGAAAAAATGAGAGCTTTACCCCAATATCTGGAACAAAACAAGGATGTCCACTCTCACCACTTTTATTCAACATACTACTGGAAGTCCTAGCTACAGCAATCAGACAACAAAAAGAAATAAAAGGTATGTAAATTGGTAAGGAAGAAATAAAACTTTCACTATTTGCAGATAACAAATCCAAAAGATTCCACCAAAAAACTGCTAGAATTGATAAATGAATTCAGTAAAGTCACAGGATACAAAATCAATGCACAGATATCTGGTGCATTTCTATACACTAATAATGAAGCAGGAGAAAGAGAAATTAAGAAAATAATCTCATTTACAATTGTGCCAAAATCAATAAAATTGCCAGGAATAAACTTTTTTTTTTTTTTAATTTTTTTTTCAACGTTTTTATTTTTATTTTTGGGACAGAGAGAGACAGAGCATGAACGGGGGAGGGGCAGAGAGAGAGAGGGAGACACAGAATCGGAAACAGGCTCCAGGCTCTGAGCCATCAGCCCAGAGCCCGACGCGGGGCTCGAACTCACGGACCGCGAGATCATGACCTGGCTGAAGTCGGACGCTTAACCGACTGCGCCACCCAGGCGCCCCTGCCAGGAATAAACTTTAACCAAGGCAGTGAAAGACCTCTACTCGGAAAACCAAAAAACACTGATGAAAGAAAGTGAAGATGACACAAACAAATGGAAGGATGTTCCATGCTCATGGATTTGAAAAATAAATATTATTATAATATCCATAGTGCTCAAAGAAATCTACAGATTTAATGCATCCCTATCAAAATACTCAACAGCTGTTTTCACAGAACTAGAACAAACAATCCTAAAATTTGTATGGAACCACAAAAGACCCCAAATAGCCAAAGCAATCTTGAAAAAGAAAAACAAAACTGGAGGTATTACAATCCCAGATTTCAAGATATACTACAAAGCTATAATAACTAAAATAGTACGGTACTGGCATAAAAACAGACATATAGATCAACAGAACAGGAAAGAACACATAGAAAAAATCCACAGTTATATGGTCAATTCCTCTTTGACAAAGGAAGCAAAAATACGCAATGGGAAAAAGACCATCTTTTCAACAAATGGTGTTGGAAAAACTTGACACCTACATGCAAAAGAATGAAACTAGACCACTTTCCTACACCATACACAAAAATAAACTCAAAATGGATCAAGGACCTAAATGTGAGACCTGAAACTATAAAAATCTTAGAAGAGAGCACCGGCAGGAATTTCTCTGACATAGGCCACAGCAACATCTTTCTAGATATATCTCCTGAGGCAAGGGAAACAAAAACAAAAACAAACTATTGGGACTACATCAAAATAAAATCTTCTGCACAGCAAAGGAAATAATCAACAAAACTAAAAGACAATCTACTGAATGGGAGAAAATATTTGCAAATGACATCTCTAATAAGGGATTAGTACCCAAAATATATAAAGAATTTATACAACTCAACATCAAGAAAACAAATAACCCAACTAAAAAATAGAAGAAGATAAATACCATATGATCTCAATCATGTGTGGAACTTAAGAAACAACAAGTAAGCAAAGATAAACAAGACAAACCAAAGAACAGACTCTTAACTATAGAGAACAAACTGGTTGTTGCCAGAAGGGAGGTGGGTGGGAGGATGGGTGGAATAGGTGAAGGGGATTTAGAGTGTGCTTATTATGATGAACACCAAGTAATGTATAGAATTGTTGAATCACTATATTGTACACCTGAAACTAATATAACATACTATGTTAACTATACTGGATTTATTTTAAAAATAGGAAGAAAACATGAATAGACATTTCTCCAAAGAAGACAAACAGCTGAGGGGCGCCTGGGTGGCTCTGTCGGTTAAGCATCCGACTTCGGCTCAGGTCATGATGTCACATTTCCTGAGTTCCAGCCCCAAGTCAGGCTCTGTGCTGATGGCTCGGAGCCTGGAGCCTGCTTCGGATTCTGTGTTTGTGTCTCTCTCTCTGCCCCTCTCCCGCTCATCCTCTGTCTCTCAAAAATAAATAAAGATTAAAAATATTTTTTTTAAAAGAAGACAAACAGATGGCCAACAGACACAGGAAAAGATGCTCAACATCACTCATAATTAGGGAAATGCAAATCAAAATCACAGTGAGATATCACCTCATACCTGTCAGAATGGCTAGAATCAACAACATAAGAAATAACAAGTATTGGCGAGGATGTGGAGAAAAAGGAACCCTTGTGCACTGTTGGTGGCGATGCAAACTGCTTCAGCCACTGTGGAAAACAGTATGAAGGTTCCTCAAAGAATTAAAAATAGAATGACTATATGATCCAGTACTTCCACTAATGGGTATTTACGCAAAGAAAACAAAAACACTAATTCAGAAATATATATGCACCCCTACGTTTATTGAAGCATTTTTACAATAGCCAAATTATGGAAATAACCCAAGTGTCCATCAATAGATGAATAGATAAATTAGAAGATGTGGTATATGTATACAATGGGATATGATTCAGCCATAAAAAAAAAAGAATGAAATCTTGCCATTTGTGACAACATGGATGGATCTAGAAGGTATAACGCTAAGTGAAATAACTCAGAGAAAGATAAATACCATATGATTTCACTCAAATGTGGAATTTAAGAAACGAAAATGAAAAAAGTAAAAAACAGGATAAACAGAAAGACAGGCTCTTAACTATAGAGAACAAACTGGTGATTACCAGAGGGGAGGAAGGGGGGGGGGGATGGTGAAATGGGTGAAGGGGATCAAGAGTATACTTATCATGATAAGCACTGAGTTATGTATAAAATTGCTGAATCACTATATTGTACACTTAAAATTAATATAATACTGTATGCTAATTATACTGGAATTAAAATGTTTTAAATGTCCACCTACCTCCCTCCATTTGGTTCCATTACCTTAAATAATCATATAAAATTATTTATTTATTTTAAAACAATCATATTTATACTTGCAGATCTAAAATAGCATTTATTTTCTTTTAGTATTTCTGACTTTTCCAACAGGACTGTAAACTCCATGAGAGTACAGAATGTAGTGAACATTACTCACTGCTCTATTTGTGACCTTAAGGTGCATATACATCGCATTGTTTCCAGGTGAAAAAGTGATACATGTACAAACAGTATAAGTGCGCACCGCCTCTCTGCCCTTCCTACCCTCTTTCGTGGGCCTCTTGTCTTTGCTTGGCTCCGGAGAGTCCATTCTGCTAGTCTTCTGGCGGTTTTCTGGGCTATTTAAGCAAGTGTGGGTGGAATCTAAGTGATCAGCAGGATGAGGTGAGCCCAGCGTCCTCCTATGCTGCCATCTTCCCCCTATGTTATCCAAACACAGTATAAGAAAACTACAGACCAATACCCCTCAGGAGTATAGAAGGAAAATCCTTAACAAAATATTATTAAACAGGTCTCAGCACATATAAAACCAATTACACATCATGACCAAGCGGAGTTTAACCCAGAAATACTAGGTTAGTTTAACAACTGAAAATCAATTTAATGTAATGCACTATATTAATACAGTGATGGACAAAAAAAACAAAACAAAACAGATTACTATCTCAATAGATGCAAACAAAATCACTTGGGCAAATTCAATAGCTATTTATGAGTTAAAAAAATATTCTCAACAAACTTCCTCAACCTGATAAAGGGCATCTCTGAAAACCTACAATTAACATCCCATGTAGTAGTGAAAGACTGTATTCTGTCCCCTCCCCCCAAATCAGGAATAAGACTAGGATGTCCACTGTCATCACTTCTATTCAAGATTGTACTGGAGATTCTGTCAATGCAGTAAGACAAAGATACTAGAGGCATAAACATTGAAAAGGAAGAAGTAAAACTATATTTGTGATGACAGAGTCATGGATGTAGAAAATCCTAAGATACAAAAAAAGAAAAAAGAAAAAAAAACAAAGAACTAGAACTAACAGTTTGGGTTAGCAAGATCAGAGTATACAAGATCAATATAGAAAAATCAATTTTATTTCTCTAAGCTAACAATGAACAATCCAAAAGTGAAATTGAGGAAACGATTTCATTCACAATACTATCAAAAGATCAAAATACTCAGGAATATATTTAACAAAAGAAATGCAGGACTTGCACAGTGAAAACTATACAGAATTGTTGAAAGCAATTAAATG